AAGATGTTAAGACCCCAGACGCTGTATCTTCTGATAGTCGGGCCCCGTCAGCTTTCTTCACCACGTGCATTTTTACTGGAGCAGATAGCTTCATCTTTCTCTCTCAGAACAGCTGGTGGCTTCCAGCCACCGCCTTTGGTTAGCACTCCAGTGCCACAGCCTCAGAAACTCTGTGTGGGGCTGCTCTGAGTCAGAATTGACTCAAAGGCAGGGAGATTTGGAACGGGACACAATGTAGACAAATTAGTAGTCATCTAAGCTGTAATTTGATTGTGTATAGGAGAATTTTCTGGGAGTTCTAAAAATAATTCTTTTGTAGTACATTTTATCAAGCAATTCTGTGTACAAAATAAATCCCCCCCGTATTGTCTATTGTCTTTTTACTCCATTCCATGACTGCAAAATAAATCTCTTAACAAATTTTGCAGGGGTTGCATGATCCAGAGTAGAGGGAGGGTTCCCAGAGTAATAGAGGCTGGCAGAAGTGAAGACTGGGTGTTTTCCTTTCCTGAGGGAACACTCTGGTGCTAAGGTAGAAACGGGAACAAATTGAAAGCATAGAACTGTGCTTGCTGACAGGCTATGGGACAGATGGGGAATTTCTCGCCTGGAGCTGTTTTGTTCATGGTGGATCGACAGGTTATAGCAGGTCATAGCGTGCGGTAGAATATGAAGCAAGCCGCCCTCCCCCTCCCCCCCCACACACACACATCTTGCTAGTCTTGTTCTGAGACTAGGCTTCCCAAGAGTGGGGCATGCTCACTTCTGGGAGGACCTTACTTAACCTGGTGGGGAGGCCTGTTGCAGACAGGGCAGCTTGCTTGTGAGATGGGGACTTCGCTCTGGAAGCACTTTGATGCTTTAGATGAGGAGGAAGGGCTCTCTCTCCTCTCCCTAGCAGCTCTCACGTCACAGATCCTTCTTTCTGACCTGGCTCCTCTCCACAGAAGCCACATTGTCCCACAGTGAGAATGAGACTGAATTCTATAAACCTCTCTTCCTAGCAGGACTGGGTATTCCCTCCTCCAGGAGGATTTCCATAAACACTGCACAAAGACACAGTCCTTAGATTGGGATTGCCTATTGTCATGATCCCTGCCCTAAACTTGACAAATGGAGGGGTGCACTGATAAGATACCTACCATACATAGCCCAGGTGAATACACAGGACCCACCTACCCCCCATAAAAATAGGGTCACAGTATTAATACCCAAAGAAACTTAAACAGTTGCTCATTTTCCTACCCTAAAGAAACCCTGCTTCCTTAGTTATAACAGCCACCCCAACTCCACCACCTACTCTTCTGCCTCACAGGCCTAGGCCATCATTAATCCACTTTTTGTCTCTATGGATTCGTCCTTTCTAGGTTTTTCATACCAATGAGATCCTACAATATGTGATCTTTTGTTTCATTGAACATATTTTCAACATTCATCCTTGTTATAGCTTGTATCAGAACTTCATTTCTTCTTATTGCCTGATAATACTGCATTATATAGATATACCATTTTATTTATCCAGTCATCAGTTGATGAATGTTAGGGCTGTTTTCACTTTTTGGATCTTGTGAGTAATGTGCACGGTTTTACATGGACATAGGTATCTGTTTCTCTTGATAGCTCCACTCAGAGTAGAGTTGCCATATCACATGGGAACTTTCTGTTTAGTTGTTTGAGGAGCTGCCAGACTGTTTATGAAAGAAGAGATATTTTCTGTTCCCATTAGCAGTGCTTTTTCCAGAATCAGTTTTTATGCCCTCTTGTTTGATCTCATATGATTTCAGTTTGCTCTTGTGGTTAAAAGTCATTAGCAAGTACTAGATGGATTCAAAATGGGTCTTAGCATCATTGGTCCTAGATGTGATCACCAGCCCCCAAATTACTTTTAGACCCAGCCTTCCCACAAACATTTAGTCTGCGTGCACTGGGAGCCTGATATCTGCTCAGTGCTCTGGTCACATTGCAGACATGCTCAGATGAGAACACTGTGCCCCATTACTGAAGCATTTGCTAATCAGAGTGGACATTTCCCACTATTTTAGCAATATTTAGTGGTTGTCAGCCTTTGTGGGCCATCA